TACTGAGGAACCTTGGCCCTCTGCTGGAGTGAATGCTATCTTAGGTGGTGGAGACTGGCTGGGATTTGGGTCTCCAACTCCGGTCCTGAAGAGCTACCGTCCAGTTTCTCATACCCAGCTTCTGATGAGCCACACCTGATCTCAGGTAAATACCAGGAGCAGGTGTGGCTCATCAGAAGCCAAGTGGGACAGAAAACCTACTGGATAGTAGCTCTCCAGGACAGGAGTTGGAGACCCCTGCTGTAGACCCTGGTGAAATTGCTATATTGTTTTTGCAATTAAATTTGTAGTGATATGACTGGCGGAGGAGGGGATTACGGTAACTATACTGTTAATGTTTACTTTACTTAGCACATCCTCAGGGGTGTGGGAACATGATTTGGGTTCATTTGTTCCCCCCTATAAATAGACATTTGCCTTTCAATTATTAAGTTGGGTCCTTCCCAGTACCAAAGAGTCTCACACCCTTGCAGATCCTACACCGCACCTGGAATGCTTTGACACCTGTGACTTTATATGACGTCCCTTCCTACGGGTAAAGCTGGGTGTAATCAGTAATAATACTGCATCTAAAGTATTCTCTTATTTACAATGTAACATTTTAACAGTCAATAAATATAAGAAGATTCCTCTACAGTCACACTGGAAAAGAAAAAAAAGTCTAAATTAATTGGAAACCATAAATCACGGTCAGCCTGGAACATATCCCATTAAGCACAAGGAAGGTTCTGGGTGCAGCCCTGGTACTGCTTTGTACGGAGCCCCAAAAGGGACATAGGTAATTAAAACATTTTTTTTTTTTACTGTATCTGGTGCTCACCAGTTAGCATCTTACCAGATACGGTAAAAAATATATAAATCACCTATGTCCCTTTAGGGGCTCCGTAGTTCCCCCAATGGTACAAAAATGTTCCTCAGAGTCCATTTATGTAACTTAAAATGCACATTTATCTACAGCTAGGCTACAATTGGTAGCCCGTTGAGGGTACAGCCTCAGTGACAAGTAATCATACCCTCCAAGGTAGAAATTGGTAATTTTTTGATGGTGGAAATTGTCTTTTTTACGCCTCCCTCAACTTGCTCTTTGTAAGCAAGCTGTCCGCGAAGGGCAGCCACCCATGGCAGCGCCCAGGGACCCACAGACATGCTGAGGCTGGGTTCAAACCGGCGCCCTAGTGATTACAAGCACACAGACTTAGCCCACTGAGCCACATGCAATTGATCATAAGGCAGTCACTCATTATTGGCAATTAAAGGTGCCATTGTGAAAGTTTTTAGACTGTGACAGAAAAGCGGACTCCTGGAGAAAGGGATGTGGTTGCTTGGATGAATGGAATGTCATATTTTTAAATATGGTACAACTCTGTAAAATGCAATACAATCGTTAATTTAATTGAAATAATGAAAAACGTAGCACCTTTGTGGAAAATTAAGAATTTATTGTCTGAGGGTTCTAAATGACTAATGATTATTTTAAACTACTATCAACTACTAGGCCTATCATAAACGCATTGCAGTCTTCAACGTCTCCCTGAAATTTACATACAGCTTTTAAAGACTTGTGTTATGTCGTCTTCGAAGAATTCAATGCTGAGTGAATTTCTGGACTCGCAGCTGAATGAGGAAAACCGTTTGTACTGAATATTAATCAGCCCACTCTCTTCATGGGCAAGTGTATTATGTAATTTGGGGCTAGTGGATTGGGTAGTTTTGTTTGCCTTATGCATCTTTTATCTCTCTCGGTCAATATGTCTCAATTCATTTCAAATTGCAAAACTGGTTTCTGGAGAGGCTTGTCATGTATTTCACGTTTCCCTACATCACTGCCAAACAACGAAGATGACATACTGCCTGTAAACATTTTTGTGTAGGCGTGCATATGTTGACGAGATGATTTAGGTAAACGAATGGGGATTTGTTTTAGAATAAGATTAAGGAAGAATGCGTAGGCTACATATCACTATTACTGGAAATCAATAAACCGGTCTCATAAATGACCCTGGTGTGTGTGTGTGTGTGTGTGTGTATCCCCTGTGTTTTTAATTCTACTATAATACTCACTTTACGTACAATGTACTTGAAATATTTGCAACTATGTGAAACTGTATATTAGAATTAACCTTTGCCCACGGGAAAAACATATTTTCCTGCTGTAAAATATTTAAACGAGAACACTGTAATGCATTCATGATAGTAGTTTAAAATAATCCTTAATCATTTAAAATCTATGTAGCCTGTGTTTATTAATCCAAAGGGACTATATCAGTATCTTAAGGATAAGTTAGTGATTTTTTTCACTTATTAGTAGTATCGATGACAAATACTTTGTTAAATAGGGTGAGTATTTTTAAAAACCTGGGAAAATGGGACAGTTATACTTGGCGGTTAATATATGTTTATTGATACTTTTTATCTTCTATATAGTGTTAAAGGGGCATTATTGTATTTAGAAGTTGGGACTCAAGATATTGAGGTGATTCTGTACATTTTTTCCAGAAAACAGATTTTCAGAAAGTGTCTTATTTTAACAATACTCACCCTAGAATGTACCAGTCACAACAAAGTATTGTATGAAATATTATATATTGTTTGGTATATCTGTTTTAAATGTGAGTTTTAACGTCATTACTTGTAAATACCCTTCGTTAGTGCCCGCGTGTTTTCCTTCATTTTTCATCCGTTATAATTGAGACTATCGAGCCCTGGTCCTATCAGCAGCTACTTTTGCATATATTATATGAGCTCATCTCTCCCGGCTGACGCTGTGTGACATTTCCAGATGTAAACCTTTGCACCGTAATAATAACCTCCCACTCCATCGCTTTAGGAAAAGGAAGCACGGAACTGAACTTTTTATTTCTATTTCCTTTTGCAAAGTCGGATTTCCCCAAGGAAGGCTGTCTATAAATATTGTGACGAACGAAAATATGGCACAGAACGAACTAGACGCGTGGATTAACTGTCATCTCCAGCAAGTCCTGTTTAATCAGAAATGTTGAGGGTACGTTAAAGCCCAAGATATTGTACTGCTTATTACAAATTTTAAAATTTTAGATTTTAATTTTAAAATCTTAATTTATTTTACTACATTTTCTTTTTTTGTATTTTAGTATAGCCTACCACAGCACCTTTTAACTCATATCTTGTTGCTTAACTCCAAATTATTATCGGCTTTATTTTGCAGGTTTTACTATATATTGTCCTGTTGTTTAGTTTAAGTTTGAGCAAGCTGAAACAAGCAAAAAAGCACAAGGGCTGTTTTACACTGGATGAGATGAAGCACCACGCGAAAAAGTTTTTACGGAATAATCTCCGGCTGCCGCTGGAGTACGTGGACCACCCTCAGCAGGAGCACCTGGCCAGGCAGTTCTGCTCCAGCTTCAAGCTGCAGCCACTGTCGTCGAGTTACATCAATCGCTCCATCTCCCCCTGGCGATATAGGTGAGCAAGCTACCCAAACTCGCGGCGCAGCGAAATCGGTGACCGTGGCGTGTCAGGGTGTCGGGCATTAAAGTTCACGTTCCCTTTTTGCAGAATGGACCACGATGAGGCGCGGTACCCTAGCGGCATCGCTTTCGCTGAATGCCTTTGCGATGGCTGCATCATTAACGGGTCTGAGGACACGAGCTATAACTCTGTAGTAGTGAAGCAGACGCGCATGGTCTTGAAAAGAACCCAGTGTCACCAAAATCCCGACAGATATTCATTTGAGAGCATGTTTCTGGAGGTACCCGTGGCTTGTACCTGCGTCATACCACCACAATGATCTTTTATAGAATCGTCTTTTTGTTGTTGTTAAAAAGGAAACAACCTCTAGGGACTTTTCTTGTAGTATGATGTGTTCATTTTAAATACACTAAAACTGTTAATACGATTACTATGGTTATTTTTGTTAACTTTAATATTTTACCAATCCACGTTTTACATGGATTTTAAGGACTGCACAACCAATTGTCTACTTGTTGTTGTCAACTGTTTGGAGAAAGGTCCTATTATATTTTATTATTACAATTTCTCCATCATTGTAGTTAAGTTATTTGACAAAATCGCAAAATTTACTGTGTTGTGCCTGGCATTTTTAAATTATTATTATTGGGTTTTTTTTCTTCTTCAAATTGTAATACTGTTTCGTGTGAATATTTATTTTTACTGTGAATACTGTTCAGTAACTGCCTCAGGAAACTTAAAGTGTCAATTCCATTAAGAGTTAAACTCTAGATAAGCTCTGCAAAGGCAGTTGCCATTGTCAGCTCATATGGACTACTTTTGCGAATTATTCTCAATGCCTTTATATTAAAATTACAACCAATGCTTATACACATATGTTTCAGCTTTGGTTTCCTCGGTGTTTTCTTTAATCTACACACAAATCTTTCCAACGATTATCCTCGAAAGGATGTTTTTGAGCAATATAATAAAGATTTACGTGAGACTGCCGTGTGATTTTGTTCGTTTTTGACTCATTCAAAATGGAGTACGTTTCATGACGCTTTTGGCCCCTTCTGATGACGTTAATTTAGTGTATCGCGGACGCCCTGTTGACGTTCTAGTGCTTGGTTCCATGTGGAAATGTTTTGATAAAAATGGCCTCTGCATTTCTGAATGCACTTGGTACCCTAACGAAGCCTATTGGGGGTGAGTAATTATTAAGTGTGATTTATTATAAATGTAGTGTCTTTGAATATCTTTATTTTTAAAGCTTGGCTTCCTATCTGTTTCAGTTTATGATACCATTGTTTTCGAATTCATATCTGCACCAGGTGTAGTCACTTTAAATCTAATATAAACAGACGCATGTTTTCTACACTTTGCTGTATAGTATTTTATGTTGTCATAGCTACCTGTCCGATACGTCGGTAGATAACTTTGGGTCTTTTCTATAAGTCAAAGAGATGTGCTTATGAGCAGAATGTATACACAGCGTGTTATGACCTCATATAACAGTTGTTTGAAAGACTGTATTGTTCTGTCCCCTATTTTCCGTACATTTCCTAATAGTAATGGCAGGTAGAGGCACTTATACGTGGTCGTGCCAACCAACAATCCAATGAACCTGCTAGCTTTTCTATTTTTTGTAGTCCTTTCTGCCGAGTCGAGGTCTTACTGTAATGACGCGGCAGCCCTCCATCCTCGCCTTCCCTCCGCAGAGGTTCACCGTAGCGCGACACATTCCGCACCACACGCGGCTCTGCTGGCTGCCCTTAACTCGAACCTGGCGGAGCTGCAGGACCGCTTGCGGGTGGACCCTGGTCTGCAGGAAGTAGGCGTTCTTTGCCAACAAGTGCGACAGGAGACGGAGTGGTACAGGGACACGGAGGACATCACCTGGAGCTTTGTCCAGGAGTGTCTGCTCCTGATGGTCACCCTGACACGTCACTTAAGGCATCTGCTGGAGTCCTTCCAGCAAGATCGTGCTCCGCTGCATAGCCGGACCCCTGAGGCCGCCCCTCCCCTGCCCCCTGATGTTCTGAGTGTCGCTCAGCAACGGACGGTTGGTGGAGCCCTTCAGTTTGTGGTCACACTAGGCCTCTGCCCCTACCTTTCCCCTGGAGTGCCTCTACACCTCAGAGGCTAACAAGGTACACAATCCTCTGACTCCCTAACGGGTTCGTGGGGATGTGCCGAATATGGTGGGACAGGCTTGGTACATTTAATTCTGAATCAACATTGCGGAGTATCTTGCAAGCACGTATATGTGGAATTTGTGAACATGATTTTATTCAGCAATAAGAAACGGGACCAAGCGCTTGAAATTTGCTGGCTGCTACGGCTGTTTTTCTGTTTCGATTATATATACATCTTACGATGCTTCCTGCTTTCATTCACCTTGAGTGAATGCAGCCTTGGCCGGGAGAGGTTGATGTCATCAGGTGGTACCCATCGTTCATTGGGTGTTTCGACCCTTATCCACAACACCCTCCAGATGGTGGGTCAGCAGTGGTGGCCAAGTCACTGCACATCTTCCCCTCCTGGCTTCCAGCTTACCTGCTCTCTCCTGCTACATAACCAGCAAGACGCTCTTTCTGCCGCCTCCCCCATTCTGCGAGCTGCTGCCTTTCTGTCCTTCATTTTGGGCCATTTAATTCATTCCCTCGCAGGGTGGGGATGGGCTCCCTGGGGTCCCTCCTGAGGTCTTGAGGTGACACAGGTGCTGAGAGATCTCTAGTTATTTCTTTGTGAGCTTAGAATGTGTGTTCTCTCTACCTCACCCTGTCAGATTACTTTGTGCTTCCTGTTTTTAATGCCGGAAAATTTACCCATCTAGTAAGGTTTAGTTCATTCATTCTGCCTTGCGATAGACACAGTGACATGAAGGGGTTGCTGTTGCATTAGTTGTGTCTCTTTGTGTGTCTATAGATGGCGCTAGAAAACCATTTTGCAAACATTTTGAAGCAAGAACATACTCATCACTACAAGTGTAACTCTTCACTGTGCCTCTTGAGAGGTCATTAGTTTTTGCAAAGGTGCATGTGTGTTTTGGTCTGTCCAGTGGCAAAATGGGAACACTGGGCCTCTGGCTTTTCTGAAAAGTCTAATTATCTGTGATGCTCTCGCTTTCTCTCTCTAATGTGAAGAAACGTGCAGCACACACACGGAGACACTGTTTTTAGTGATGGTGGCGGAGAGAACTAAACATTCAAAAGTACAATTACATTTCACTAGATCCGATGCTGACAATGCCCAAGTCTTTTTTGCATGTAAGGGCGGAAACATAAGAAATCTGTCAACATCTAATGAAATCCATCACAGGTACATGGGGAAATGCCCAATTTTCCACTACCTGGCTCCTAGTTTATCTCTCGCTGGCCCAGGTATGTTATGTTTGCTGGCAGCCTAGAGCCCACACACAGAGTTCAATTATCCAAATATGGATTGATGATTAAAAGTAACCATTAGTCGGCTAATTGGTCATAATAAATAATTCAGCATATACATATGTGTGTGTATTTGTTACACTGTCTTAAATACTGTTTTCTTAACTTTTGTAAGTCAAGTATTTAGACCTGATGTTTCCGTAAACATATCAGAATAATCCCAGTCTCCTATCCACAGTGAGACATACAGCTTATTAATTAAACACGGATATAGGATCGACACTGGGGATCGACCGATACCCAAAAGTCAGATATTGATGTCAGTATTGGAACTGAAAAAAATCAGATAGGTGCATCCATAGTAGAGACTTAATCTGTACACATTCTCTGTTTAATAATAAGGAAGCAGTGAATAGAGAAAGTCGAAGATGGACATAGCTTTTGTTCCAGTTTCATTTTGAAATAATTTATTTATCCATTAGNCTGTTTAATAATAAGGAAGCAGTGAATAGAGAAAGTCGAAGATGGACATAGCTTTTGTTCCAGTTTCATTTTGAAATAATTTATTTATCCATTAGAATATGCTTTTAAAAATATCCCTGGATTTATTGACACTGGACTCTGCCATCATCACCTCTCAAGGCCGGAATGCCCCCATAAACAGACCCTCAGCAAAGGCTGAGACACCACATGACATGTGACAGTGTTATGAAAGAGGACAAGGTTGTTGAGCTGGCGGGGATTTGTAAGGCATCTGTGTTGAACTGGGGAAGTCCTTTTAAACCATTTGTCTAATTTAACAATTTGGGCTTTTATCTGTCCAATTGTTTTCCCCAAATGTATTTCCTGTTGGAACACTTGCATTATATGTAATTACTTAGCATCTTAGCATATTGGTGTAAATTATGACATTTTCATTTAGGAATTATTTGGTTCTCCCATGTCCCTTTGTACCTTTCTGTGTGAAACACACACAAGCAGGTGGCAGCAAAGCCTGGGGTCAGCCCTTCACCCAGCCCCCCTGAAACAGTGTTCGGGGTTAGGGGTCTTGCTCTTTGACCCAGCAGTGATGTGATCACCATGTTATTCTTTTGTAATGCTGCTGGTTTGTTGGTAAGAGAGAGAGTTTATTTTATGTTTATGGTCACAAATGTGCTTGTGCTTAAAGATTTAAATCTGCACATGTTATGTACTGTAAATAATTTGTTTTGATTATATTTAATGGGAAGATGGGAAAGACCTACATGCTCATAATGATCACACTGCTGGGCAGGGGATTCGAACTGGTGACCTTCTGATAATGTGAATTGAGTCCAAACTTGCAGAGTAGTGATGGCCAAGTGAAGCTTTATGAACCATTTGCTGTTTTTTTTTGACCCCACTAGATGGTGGTCTTGTTCTGCTTTGAGGCATGCTTTGAACACTTTTTTTGAACAGAGAGCACCATCCAGTGGGGTCAGAAAATACAGCAAATGGTTCATGAAGCTTCATTTGGCCATCGCTGCTGCAGATCCGCATTTCAGCTCTGGAAAATGGCATGTCATACCTCTGTTATGTAGATGATTATAGGTTTTCTGTGTGTGTTTTATGCTATAGGGGATCACTTTGGAGGAACGCTTGGCGTGCCGGAAAGCGCTTCAGAACCTGCTCCAAAAGGTCTACCAGCCAATCGTCATCAAGGAGCTTCTGATCCTTCAAGGAGGGCCAAAACAGGTACAGCGGCGAGACGGACGGCTTCCTGTGGACTTCCTTTCAGTCCGTCATGCTGTCCTTTGTGAGGCGTTACCCTGCACTGTTTTGTGAGCCAGTGTGTGAGGAGCGTTTCTCTTTGTGTCTCTTGTAGGCTCAGCCAGCCGCCCCCGGAGGGGGGGTCCCCAGGACAGCCTTGGCCCAGGCCCCTCCGTGGCTTCGGCGCCTTTGTGGGCAGCTGCTGTCGGAGCGACTAATGCAGCCCAAAGGTGTTCAGGCTGTGGTTAGGGCCATCTTGGAGGGAGCCAGAGGTACGAGCGTGGGGATGGCAGAAAGGTGGCCATATACGTCAAGTGACGTCTGGATAAAACAAAATCAATCTTAAAATGACACTGCCACCTTGTTCATTCGATGTTATGCCGAAACCCTAGAGGTGGGGTGGGGAACCT